TGTAAGTTGGAACTGGCGTCCAGATTCAGCCGCTGCTGAAACTGACCGCCAGTTCTGACTTACATACAGAATCAACTTAAGAACCCCAGGCGTCCCCAAGTCAGCTGCTGCTGAAACTGATCAGCAGCTGATTCCAGGAAGCCCGGGGCAGAGCAACTCAGCTTTGCAAAGCCTCGGGGAAGCCGGCAGCAGAGCAGCCCAGGTGCGCCTGGGCTGCCTCGCTGCCCGAGCCCCTCCGTGGCTTTGCTCCGCGTCTTCCTGGTCTGCAGACCAGGGAGACGCGGAGAAAGCCCCGGAGTACACGGGCGGCAGGACCGCGAGGTCCCGCAGTCCGTGTCCTCTGGGGCGAGCCCCGTTCCTAACTGCGGATCCGACATAAGTCGGATCTGCGTAAGTCGGGGACTGCCTGTATATGAAAACAATAAAAATGCTTGACATATGCAAGTGAGTCAGTAAGTTATTACTTATATTCTCTAGAACAGTAGTTCCCAGCCTGTGGTCTGTATGGGGTCCATGAGGAGCCTCTCACAGTCAAGCACATCTTTCAACCTGTGTTGCTTCCTGCAGCTCAGGAAGCTGCATGAGCTGAGGGACTTGCTGGCCGCTGGCACAGAGCCTCTCAGCTCAGGCTCTGTGCCAGCAGCCAGCATGTCCTTCAGCCCACACTGCTTCCCCAGTGGGCTGAGGGATGTGGAAGCTACAAATCCAGCTATATTGTTTTTGGGGGAGAGGGGTCCATAAAATGTTAATAGATTGAAAAGGGGTCCATATCCTTGAAAAGGTTGGAAGCCACTGCTCTATAATAAAAAGATGAAAACAAATTATTGAAATAAAAAGACTGTAATTTCAATTGATGTCAAAGACAAGATATACAAAACCATTATTGCATGTGTAACAATAAAACAAGACCATATTCTAATACACAATATTGACCAGCAAGGATTTAGACTCACCCTGGTTCTCTCAGTAACAATGGAAGCTATGCATAAACAATGAAGTAAGGACATATCCACTGGTGCCTAAGACAATGTGGCATGTACTTACAACTAAATTAGGATTTAAAATATGGTCAACTGAAAGGAAAATAAAAGTCATAATCAGTGTTCCCTCTAAGCTGCAGGGTAGCACAGTTTCACAGATGATTAATCAGTCCTGCCCTGTCAGGAGGCTCAGGGCTCTATACACAGAGCTGATTGACTGGGCAGGGCTGGTTAATCACCTGTGAAGCTGTGCTGCCATGCAGTTTAGACAGAACACAGGTCATAATTAGTACTCTCATTAATTTTATTTGCTCAAAACTTTATTATTTAATAAATCTATATTCATTTTACTGCACAGCAAATTAAACATGCATACCCACACACACACACCATATGAGAGTCTTTCTAAACTCAGAACAGTAAAGGGTACTAGTCTGATGACGTATCATTTGGTTTTGCTAGAAATCATGTAATGAGAAAAGACTGTTTACATGAAATAGAAACAGTAAAGAGTGTGGAAAGTTTTACAAAGTTTTGAAACCATACATTTCTCTATACATGCGGAAAAACAATCTCAATTTTCTTTCTATATTCATTTCAAATGCTATTCATGGTATGGATACTTTCTTGTATATCAGAATCAAATCCCTCTGCATCATTTCCAGATGGGTCTGCTGGCTGATTTTCTTGGGCTGTAACATTTGCAATTCCAGTTTCATTTGTTCTGTAGATGTGTTTTTTTGAGGAATGGTTTTGGCTTTCTTCACTAGAAGTGGCACTGATTTTTCTGCTACCCCTACTTTTCAGAATGACATTGGAATCAGAGAATAAATGCTGACTACTAGTAGCTGATTGCTTCAAGGAATGCCCTTTTGTCTGTTCACTTAATGTGACACACTTCTCAGAGGATGATGGCTTGCTATTTTTGGATGTTTCCTCTTTCTTTCTTTGATTATCTATTTGAGCTTCAGTTTCTTCCCATAAGCCTTGCTGCTGTTGAACAATGACCTTAAATTCTTGTATTTCTCTGGGAACAGCACAGGTATTATTCGTAAGAACCTGAAAACAGAAGATACCAGGAAGAGAAACTGATGTCTCCACCAACATTCTGAAGCAAAAGATTCAAATTAAAATCAAATTTCTTAATGAAGCCAGAAAACCTCTAACTCAATTTACTGGATTATTGCACAGTCATCTTTGTAAAATACATACATAATGAAATTGGATGGGGAAGAGGGCTCTTTCAGAACATCCTTTTTCCCAGAAAGTTCAGCTTATGAAGGAGGATCATCAGAGTGACTGGGAAAAACCAATGAAGAGGAAAAAGGCACACTGCAACAATTTCACTTGTTCCATTTATTTTGGGCATTGTCTACTTCTCAAAATTGAATCCATTGCACGGAACAAATTATAGCACAAACGTGTTAAATCAGCATGGCTGTTGTGACTTTAAGAACCATTACAGACTTGCCTTGTGCCCACACTAATGTTGTCCAAAATGACTTGAATTGCAATGTCCTCTTAGTACCTATCCCATAACCTGTTCTGTGCTTGTATAGCCCCCAGGGAAATCATGTCCTGGTTCATGAATGGGGCTCCTGATTTCCACGGTAATACAAGTAAAAATCTCCAGCACCCAGTAGCAGTGTATGGTGGGAGATTTTCCAAAGCCACTGGTGTACCATGGACAGTAGTGGGAAGATTAGATGAACCCTTCAGTTAATCTGCATACACTTCATAGACATTAATACTCTCCCAAGTGAAAAAGTGCAGATAAAAACAAAACATTTAACCTTTGGAAAATACTACTACTAACAAAAATAATAAAAAAAGGCCTTCCTATACTGGGTTAAGTATCCAAAAAAATTCCAACCAACTTAAAAAAAAAACAGTTGGAGAGTAGGCTACAGAGGCCAAAGTTAAAATCAGTCACAAAAATAGTTCTAGCAATAAAATCCTCATCTACAGTAACACTTTAACCAGTTTTAAACCTCACTCAGCTTAATGAATATTAAAACTGATTTATTCAGAGTGTCAATATTATTAGTGTCAAAACTAGTCTCAAAATTCCACAATGCTCTGCAGTTGGTAGCATGCTTGTAAACTAGGGCTGTTAAAATGTGTTTGCGTAAACATGTAACTGCTCAATTTTTCAGCATTTACATGTGTACAGGCAGGGAGTGGGGAAGGGAGGCAGGAGCCATTTCCCCCCTTCTTGGGTGCTGCCTCTATCACTTCAAGCACCAGCTCCCGCCTGCCCCTTTCCCCCACGCTGCTGCCTCTGTATCCAGCTCCTCATGCACTCTGGCTACCACCTCCCACGCTGCTTCCTCTGATACAGAGGCAGCAGCACTGTGTCGGGGGGGAAGGGGGCGGCACACTGAGTGCAACCATGAGGGTTAACCAATGAGCCTGGGCTCGGGTAAACATTCGCATCCTTATTGTAAACTATTTAGAGTACATTTAGCATGGATGTGAAGTGTGTTCCAAGTTCATCAGAAGGTTACAATAATATTGTAGCAAAGAATAATTTTTCTGGTATAGAAAAGCATTTAGATACCCACTCATTTTTAATCTAGCAGTTAAGATCTCTGAAAAGTTCCAACTGTTAGACCCCACATATCTGCACATCTTTAGAATGGGTGTTCTTACTGAAGGGCTCTTAATTTTGGAATTAATTTCCCTTTAGTTTAATAGATTCAAAGTTCACTAACTTGCAGAACATGCTTCAAAGCCTTATTGTGTTGGTATTACAAATTTATACTCACTTGATGCCTAGGAGAGGCAAAATTCTGTCCAGGACTAATGGCATGTTTAATATCTAATATATTCCCCAAAAAATCATGGCTAGACATGATGCTTTATATCATTGGGAAATGGAAGCTCCCAACTGTTCCATGGACACACCCAGCACTTGTTTCGAACATCAGATTTTAAAGTTATAACAGCTATAAGTGAAACTATTTTTGGTAATTTGCAGATATTTCTAAATTATATTCATAGTAATTCTCTTCTTTCTAAATCTTCCAAAATAGGATTCATGCTCACTAAGGAAACGTAGCTTTAAGTATGGGAAATACAATAAATACACCATTTTAAAATGTCTGTATGCAACATATCCAGAATGGTGTGATGCAATTTATCCAAAACCAGTAAAAGTATTACTAATGGGTGACTGACACTTCAGTACAGGTTGGAAGTGTTTGGCACCCTCGGGACCTGATTGGTCCCGGATGAGAGATTTTTCCCTACCAGGGGAGGTCATTTCAGGCCCACTGCTGCTGGCTCTCCACTACTTGTTCACCCCCCCCCCCCCCGCCATGGGCTTCCTGCCCCACCCCCAGCCCAACTAAGCTGCACGCTAGCTCCCTGCCCCGTCCCAGCCCAGCTAAGCCACACACTGGCTCCCTATCCCCACTCCAGCTCAGAATAGCCGTGCACCTAGCCCCCCCACTTGCACTCCAACTGAGCCGTGCGCCGGCTCCCAGGCCCCCACCCTCCTGCAGTGCTGGGACTCTCTGATCCAGGAACATCTGTGGTCATGCCAGACTATGGATGTTGCTGGATCACAGAATCCCAGATTTTAGAGGTGCAACCTGTAATATGTTATATTTGTATTCATACATTTATTTTATACAAACATACACACACTTCTACATATGCCCCTTCTGCACAAGGATATAAGAGATTCTGAAGCTCTAAGAAATGTTCATTGGTCCTTCACCAATGTATAAATTTCACCTACAGTGGGGCAATAACCAGGAAATAAAGTAAATTGCCACATTATTCTTCAGATTTTTCCCACACTTACTTTGTTACTCTGTGTGTGTTCTTGTCTTTCTTCTTCAAATGATTTCTCTCTCTGTATAATAGCAGGTTTATTGACCGTAGAATTCATTTGGGGATGGCCCAACAAACCAAAATCAGATTGGTCTATCCCAGCTATCGTAGCAAGTTGCCCAAGTCTATTTAAAAAAAAAAAAAAGTGAAATGTGATCTTTCCGGAATGGGTAGTAGTTATCTGTACTAGACAAAAGAGGAGAACTGTTGCAAAATAAATATTTGTTTGAAATTTTCTTTTTGGGGTGCAAGGATACCCCAAATTATAAATTATAGTTACTATAATACCTCCTGCTTTTGCACTACCAAAAATATATGATTTCAACTAGGAAACTAAGAGGCACTGGTGATGGAAGGGATGCTGGTAAAGGGAGGGAAATGTTTTGTTATGAGTTATTTTTCCTGCCCATAACAGGAGACAAACGGTGATACAGGTTGAACCTCTCTAGTCCGACACTCTCAGGACTGAGCCAGTGCCAAACCAGAGAATTTGCCAAACTACAGGAAGTCAATATTGTCTAGCAGCATTACCAAACTTTCCACTGCATAAAGGGCTCTTAAAAGACATTGCGGGATAAATGAGAGCTAAATAACAGCACAGAACACTGAGAACCAGGATTGGTGGCTGAAAACAAACTTTATGGTACCATTGGAAAATCAGCCACACCTATGATAAGTGGACATCTCACTAACTAGAATCATGCAGGACCACGGATGTTGCTGAACCAGAGAGTGTGCTGGACTAAAGAGGTTCAATCTGTATTTTTATTAACATAGAATATCTTTCCCCGTTAACCTCAGTGATGCCAATGGGGCTATATATGCAGTCAATGTGAATAAGAAAAAAGATTGTCCTAAATAGAAGAAAACGCTACAGTTTTTGCTAAGCAAATCAATTCATAGGGTTAAAATACATTTTTTGTGGTTATGGATACATACTAGTGGCCATAGAGGAAAATATGCAAATGACCAACAAAAATCCCTTTTAACATTGACTAAGAACACAAAGATGACAGGATAAAAATTAATTTAAAAACATAAAAGTACCTTTTTTAAGGAAAAATTGTGATTTCAAAGATCCTTCTGACTCAAGCAGTCTCGTCCTCAAATAACTCTCATTACTATTTCACTTGCCTCAGATGAATTCTACTCTTAATGTCAGGAACAACATATACATCAAAAGGAACATGCAATACCAGCGCGCGCGCACGCACACGCACACACACACACACACAACAATACCAGCGCGCGCGCGCGCACACACACACACACACACACTAAACAACAGTGGGGAAAAATACAATTGATTTAACTTACAAAAGTATATACCTGCTAATCCACCACTCCAGGAATGATGGGAAGTAGCAAGTAGTAGGAAATTTCCCTCATTGATGGGGAGAACACACATTTCCAACTCAGACTGATCCCATGAAGTATCAGAAATATTTTTAAAATACCACCATGTTTACCAAAAGAGACCAAAATGAAGAGTGCCCTTTGTCTAAAATAGGGATGTTAGATATTATGTGATCGAATAGTCCTATAACCGCATGAAATTGTAGGGGTCCCACAAATATTCGATAGTCCCCGGGAACAGGGCTGGCAGTCAGTGCACTCCTAGCCTCACCCCCAGGGAGCCCCCTGTCACCATGTCAGAACCCAGTGGGGCTCTTGTACATTTCAAAGGCTGAGGCGCAGCTGGGAGCGTGGGGCTAGCGGAGGAGTCCCCTGCCTGCTGGCCCCGCACTCCATGCAGGGCTTCTCCTTTTGAGCCCACTGGGGCTTTTGAACATTTCAAAGGCTGAAAATCTAGAGAAGCGGTGTCTAGGGTCTATGAACAGTTCCTTTGTAACTGTAGAGTCTCTGTATAGAAGTGATATCTGTACAGGAGGAAAAAAGTTATTCACATTTTCTCCAAGTTTGTGTAACTAACCATTTAACCGCTGAAAATGTTGGCGGTTATATGGTTATAAGCAGGGCCACAGTCAGCCCCCAGGAGCTGGTACGTGCTAGGAGCCACCCCGCACTTCTGCCTCCGTATTTTAAGTCAGCTCCCCGTGCACATTGGCTCCCTCTTGCCACTCCACACTGCTGCTTCTGATATAGAGACAGCAGCACAGGGCAACAGACAGCTACCTGACAGCTGTGTACAGCTGCGTAGGTAACCAATAAACTCAGGCTTATGGGTTACCCATTTAAACTGCTACATTCTGACATCCCTAGTTCATAAGGAAATCAGACATTTTCTGGAATAGAAGCTGCTTGAAAAGCCACCTCTCTCTCTGCTGAATCAGGGATTGGGTGATGGAAAGACCTGTGCAAGTAGAACATACAAAAACCATATTTGCTCATAAGACAGAGAAGAATGATCGGAAGCCACTTAGTCAACTTTCAAACATCTGGCCTAGAAAATTTTGACCGATGACGGAGGGGAGGTTGTAAGACTGATTAGGTCCTGCGACCGATGACGGAGGGGAGGTCGTAAGACTGATTAGGTCCTGCGCCGCTTCAAAGGTGTCCGGCGTAGACGGACGATGAGAGGGCAGGCGACCAGGACTCACCAGGCCCCCTCGGTGCCGACGATGCACCGGAGGGGAAACATGCACCGGTGAACTGCCGCTGCGGTGTCCAGCCGACATTGGCTTTTTAGACGGAGACCTACCCTGGGACTTCTTCACCCTCTTAGATGGCGGAGAGTGAGACCGGTGCCAGGATCTCTACGTCGATGCCCGGTGCCGGTGTGCGGCCTCACGCGTGGAGGCCAGTGCGCTGTGCACCACCGGCTGGTCCGGCGGTACCGGTTGAAGCGCCATCTCCATAAGGAGAAGCTTCAAGTGGGAAACTCTTTCTTTCCTCGTATGGGGCTTGAAAGACTTGCAGATTTTGCAGGCAATTGCCAGATGAGCCTCACCCAGACACTTAAGGCAGCTGTCGTGTGGGTCGCCCCTGGACATAAACTTCCCGCAGTCAGCGCACGCCTTGAAGCCTTGCGGCCCTGGCATTCCTTACCCCCAAGGGGGGAAGGAGCAAAAACAAAAAACCTAACTATCTAACTACACAAACTATTTACAATGTGAGAAACGGGAACCATTAACTATCTAAGCCTAAACAGATAGAGAGAGAGAGAGACGCTCCAACGACCGACACAGTGGTAAGAAGGAACTGAGGTGGGGCAGCGCCGGCAGGGGTACTTATGCCCCGCCATGGCGACGCCACTCCAGGGGGCGCCCCGCCGGCGCTACGGGTACCGCTAGGGAAAACGCTCCGGAAGACGTGGTACACGCGGCGCGCACACCTACTTCGAATGGACATGAGCAACCACTCAAAGAACATACAAAAACCATATTTGCTCATAAGACAGAGAAGAATGATCGGAAGCCACTCAGTCAACTTTCAAACATCTGGCCTATAAAATTTCTTGTGTTATGTGGTCTTTTCTGAGATGAAGAAATAATGACCAATTTTAAGGTCCAAAAATATTTTCACTTATTTACTTCTGCCAAGCCTTGCTTCTCTTTTTTCAGTTAGATCTGTAAACATAAACCTTTTAAGAGTGGAGAGGAAAGCCTCCAGGCCATGGTACTACCTACATTACAGACTTGTCATGGAACAGACATGGAACTCCCCTCTCAGCACTAGGATGCCTGAGAGTTATATTCCCAGAGCTGCTGAGAAATTGGAGTAAAGAATTCAGTAAAGAATTCTTGGAAGGGAGAAGAAGCTCAGTCAAAAGAAAAATAGGAGGGAATTATAGATCCTGAAAGTGTATTCTAGAAACAGGTAGATAAACTTGGTTTGGGTGATTGGTTCTATTGAGGAAAAATTTGGAGAGAGGGAAGTTTATTTTCTAATTACTCTTTCTTCTTAGTCTCCAGGATACCTGGAAGAGAGGCATGCACTATTAGGAGGGAGATGGTGCAGGGACGGGGTGAGGAGAGACGTAAAAGAAAATGGTGAAGTACTCAGATAATATGATAACCTACCCAGCATCTTTAAGGAGGTCTAAAAAAGCATGAAACTTTCGGAAAGACGTCTCAATGCTGCCCAGAATACCTTCATCTTCCAGAATCATATTGGTTACTGACTGTGCATGAAGAACCTCAGACAGAGAGACGTTTAAATTCCTTAACCGGGCATTTTCAACTTCCAGCTACAAAAAAGAGTTAGAAAAAATTAGTATCACTTAATGTAATCACTGAGAATGACATAAGCTTTGAAAAAAGATGTAAAGCATTTCAAACTGCGCTATTTTAGGTGTTCTGTGAAACACTTTAAACAATAAAAAGACAGCGTAGTCATTATGTCTCAACCAAGAGACATCTCTTAGGAAAAGTTAGTGCTCTCTTTATATTTAGTATTATGTGTGTCTAAATCATACCTCAATA